GGTCACATGCTCTACCAGCTTGAGCCAGCCAGGTGCCCCAAGAGAGGAGCTCTTAAGGGTTCTCACCACACACACACATAAATGGTAACTATATAAGGTGATGGATATGTTGGGCGCCTGGGTGGCTCGGTTGGTTTAGCAACTGCCTTCGGCTCAGGTCATGATCCTGGAGTCCCGGGACCGAGTCCGCATCAGGCTCCCTGCTCAGCGGGGAGTCTGCTTCTCCCTCTGACCCTCCCCCCTCTCATGCTCTCTCTCTCTCTCAAATAAATAAAATCTTTAAAAAAAAAAAAGGTGATGGATATGTTAATTAGCTTAATTGTGGCAATCATTTCACAATGTATAACATCAAAACATCATGTACACCTAAATATACACAATTTTGTCAACCATACCTAAATAAAATACAGTTTTATTTCTATAATAGCAATGAACAATCAAATTATAACCCATTGAATAAAACAGAAATCCATGAATCATAATAATGGATAAATCAAAAAATAAGGGAGAAGGTAAGACCCTTTATTATAGTGGAATGACAATTGAAAATATGGGAAGGGGGCACCTGGCTGACTCAGTTGATAGAGAATCTGACTCTTATTGCAGGGTTGTGAGTTCAAGCCCCACATTGGCCATGGAGCCTTAAAAATATATATACATATGAGAATGGTGGTAGAGTTAGAAATCACTGTTGTACACTTGAAACTAAAATAACATGGTATCTCAATTATACTTCAATTTAAAATAAAGACTTAAAAGACCTGAAACTGTAAAACTAATAGAAGAAAACAGGGAAAAGCTCATCGATATTGGTCTGGCAATGATTTTTTTGGATATGACACCAAAAGCACAGAAACCAAAAGCAAAAATAACCAAGTGGACAATATCAAACTAAAAAGCTTTTGCACAGCAAAGAAAATAATTAACAAAATGAAAAGGTAACCTACAGAATGCGAGAAAATATTTACAAACCCACATATCCAATGAGAGGTCAATATCCAAATATACAGGAACTCATATAACTCAATAGCAAAAAAAATCCCCAAATAACTCAAGAAATGGGCAGAGGACCTGAATAGACATTTTTCCAAAGAAGACATACAAATGACCAACAGTTACATTAAAAAGTGCTCAATATCATTAACCATCAGGAATATACAAATCAAAACCAGAGTGAAATATCACCTCATGCCTATAAGATGGCTATTGTAAAAAAATTCAAGAGATGACAAGTGTTGGCCAAGATGTGGAAAAAGAGAACCCTTGTCCACTGTTGGTGGAAATGTAAACTGGCATACTATTACAGAAAACAGTATGAAGTTCTTCAAAAAATTAAAATAGAGGGGCACCTAGGTGGCTCAGTCAGTTAAGCATCCGACTTTTGATTTTGGCTCAGGTCATAATCTCAGGGTCATGTTGGGCTCTGCACTGGGCGTGAAACCTGCTCAAGATTCTTTCTCCCTCTGCCTTCCCCCTCAACCCTCCCCCCTCTAGAAAAATTAAAAAAAAAAAAGAACTGTATGATCCAGCAATCCCAATTCAGGGTATATATGCAAAGAGAATAAAATTAGTATCTTGAAGAGATATCTGCACTCCTATGTTCATTGCACCTTTATTCACAATAACTGAGACTTGGAAACAATTTATCCAGATGACTGGATAAAAACAATGTGTATATATACACAGTAGAATACTATTATTGTGCTATTATACACAGTAGAATATTATTCATCCTTAGAAAAAAGTCAAATTGAATTTTGAAGAACTATACCAATTACAATAGCATCAAAAAATATGAAATACTTAGTGATTAACCTGACAAGATATGTGAAATATCTACACACTGAAAAATACTAAACGTTGCTGAGAGAAATTAAAGAAAATTGACAATTTGAAAAAGAAGATTAAAGCTGGAAGACTAACACTACCTGATTTCAAGACTTATTGCAAAGCTACAGTAATCAAGACAGCATAGTATTGGTGTCAAGATAGATAAATACATCAACAGAAGATACTAGAAAGTTCAGAAATAGGCCCACAGATATATGAACAACTGGTATTTGGCAAAGGTGCAAAGGTAATTCAGAGAAGAAAGGATAGTCTTTCCAACAACTGGTGCTGAAACAATTGTACATCCATATGCAAAACCATAAACTTTAATCCATACTTATCATAGGTAAAAATGAACTCAAATGGATCATAGACCTAAAATTAAAACCTAATTGTAATTTTCTAGAAGGAAACAAAAATATTTGTAACTTTGCTTATGCAAAGATTTCTTAGGGGCGCCTGAGTGGCTCAGATGGTTGGGCATCTGCCTAAGGCTCAGGTCATGATCTCCAGATCTTGGGATCGAGTCCCACGTCAGGCTCCCAGCTCAGAGGGGAGTCTGCTTGTCCCTCTCCCTCTGCCTCCCCCCCCTGCTCCTGCTCTCTCTCTATCTTTCAAATGAATCAATAAAATCTTTAAAAAAAAAATTTCTTAGATACACCATCAAAAGCATGATAAGGTAAAAAATTGATAAATTAGACCTTGTCAAATGTAAAAACTTCTCTTTGAAAGGCAACTTTTTAAAAGATTTTATTTATTTATTTGAGAGAGAGAGAATGAGAGAGAGAGAGAGAGCATGAGAGGGAGGAGGGTCAGAGGGAGAAGCAGACTCCCCGCTAAGCAGGAAGCCTGATGTGGGACTCAATCCCTGGACTCCGGGATCATGACCTGAGCCTAAGGCAGTCGCTTAACGAACTGAGCCACCCAGGCACCCCTGAAAGACAATTTTAAGAAAATGGAAAGGCAAACTATAGACTGGGAGAAAATACTTGGAAATCACGTATCTGTTAAGGTCTTGAATCCAGAATAAACAACTCTTAAAATTCAATAATAAGAAAGTAATTTAAATAATGGGCAGAAGTCCATAAAAGGCATGACCAATGAAGATATATGGATGGCAAATGAATGCATAAAAAGATTTTCAACATTATTACTAATTAGGTTAATACAAATTTAAATCACAGTGTGATATCACTACACACCTATTAGAATATCTAAAATGAAAAAGACTATCCCAGGGGCTCCTGGGTGGCTCAATTGGTCATGATCCCAGGGTCCTGGGATGGAGCCCTGCTGTGGGCTCCTTGCTCAGCTGGGAGTCCGCTTGTCCCTCTCCCTCTGCCTCTCCCTCCAACTCACACGGGCATTCTCTTTCTCAAATAAATAAAATCTTTAAAAAAAGAAAAAACTATCCCTGCAACAATTACTGAATTGAAAGGCATGATCATATTTGGGCTATAGCCACATATTTACTGTTTGTTTTCCAAGAATTTAACTGAATGACTCCCACCTGCAACCTTTCACAGTACATGTTCCACTGAACTCTCACCAGCACATAAGAAAAATTGTTTAAATGCAAATCTCATCTAGATTTAAGAGATTTAAAAACGGTTAATTTACATGCAGCTTTTGGGTCTATCATCTTAGCAGATGTTTCTTTTTCTCAACTTTCATCTTCAAGTCCCAAATGTAGTTGGTACAAATGCACCTGCAGTTGTAATGCCCTTTGGAGAAATCAAACAGATTCATCAAATACTAGCAGGGAACATAAGTAATCAAATGACATGTTCTCATTTAGACCAGCAAAAACAGGCCTCCAAATGAGAAAGTAAATATCTGCTGGGCTCAAATAACAGACAGAGAGAGAAAGTTAGCTGAAAAATTAACAGACAATATTCTCCCAAAGAAATACTGCGCCTGTAGAATAAAGGTGACCTTGGTGACTACTGCTTTCTTATTTACACAATGAGAAAATTTGTTCTCTAAAATCATAGAGTACCAGCTTTGTTGTTTGAAAATCTATCAGTAAAAATGAAATATCCCTCCCTTGGCTGGTCACTGTGACACAGAGAACCAGCCTCATGCCAAACCAAGTGCAGGGCTACAGATAAGGGGATTCTGGGCCAACAATTAGTATCTATGTTCACTCTGTACTTTCCAAGTTAACAGAAGTCTGTAGTCCAGACATGACCTTGAACTCTTTACACACAGCCCTAATTGGCTTTGTACCTATCAAAAGACTGCTTCACTTAAATTTCACCTACCTCGACCCTTCCTTAAAATTTCCTAATAACTCGGGCGCCTGGGTGGCTCAATTGGTTAAGCGACTGCCTTCAGCTCAGGTCATGATCCCAGAGTCCAGGGATCGAGTCCCACATTGGGCTCCCTGCTCTGCGGGAAGCCTGCTTCTCCCGCTCCCACTCCCCCTGCTTGTGTTCCCTCTCTCGCTGTGTCTCTCTCTGTCAAATAAATAAAATCTTAAAAAAAAATTTCCTAATAACTCTATTCCTTTGTCTTGTGATATGCCTCATTGTTCCTCTGTTGTGTGATCTCACTCATTGTAGGCCACAGCCAAAATCATAAAGGTGATTTTGTGGGACTACAGATTTGTCAGGTGACCTTGGGCGGATATGCTAGGAGAAAAAGCTTTACAAGAGTATCGCCAGGAGGCGCCTGGGTGACTCAGTCGGTTAAGCATCTGCCTTCCATCAGGTCATGATCCCAGGGTCCTGGGATGAGCCCCACCTGGGGCTCCCTGCTCAGCTGAGAGTCTGCTTCTCCCTCCCCCCCACCCCCGCTTGTGCTCTCTCTCAAATAAATAAAATCTTTATTAAAAATATCGTCAGTAAACATTTGTTTTCATAAACTGTATCTCTTAACAATCATTCATGTGTAAATATTGAAAAAAGTCGGCCACTGTTTTGGTAGGGAAGTATCTGAGCAAACAATGAAAGAGCATTTTAACACCACTGATCTAGATTATTTAGACCAATGTTCGTATAAAAAGAAAAGGAAAAAGTAGAAGAATGGTGGGGAGAGGAAAACTGACTGAGAGAGAAAGGTCATCTATTACACTACTTTAGTACAGTAACCGCCTAGAGGAACGCAAGCGCCTCGCTGAGAGTCCCTTTCCACTCTTCAATTAGGCGCGGCACAGGCTCAGGAACGAGCAGAACTACAACTCCCAGCATCCTGCGCGGCCCGGGGAAGGCAGGCCGGGACTGCGAGAAAGAGGCTCCGGGGGATAGCGGGCCAGAGCCGGCTTCTCCTTTTGAAGGGGTTTCACACCTCTTTCCGCCCGCGGCGTCGGTGGCGTCGGCGGCGTCGGCGCTCACGCAGGGGCGGGTCACGGCGGCGCGAAGCGGTGCTGGGCGGGAAGGGAAGTCGTGGCGGCGGCGGCGGCGGCGGAGGCGGCGGCAGCGGGGGCAGCAGCGACGGCGGCGGCGGCGGGGGCCGCAGGAGCGGTGGTGCTGTCAGTTAGGCCGTCGGAGAAATGGGAGACCCGGGGTCGGAGGTGAGTGGTCGAGCGTTGGGCCGCGGCATTCTCAGCCGAGCCGGGAAGGGCTTTGTGTTTTTTGTCGAGTGTGAGGCCTGGTGCGCGGCGGGGCCGCAGCGGCGGGGCCATAGCCTCCGCGTCTCGGGCCGAGCCCAGCGTTCGGGCCTGGTGCGGGTCTGAACGAGGAACCAGCGGTAACAATGGCCGCCCGGCCGCCCCCGGCCCCCTGCGCCGGCCCCGGAGGTCGCTGTTGCGGCTGCTCTGGCCGTGAGAGCGACATTTTGAGACAGGCTCGCTCTTCGGCGGTGTGCGTGCATCCCTCCTCCTGGAGGAGATTGGGGAATTCGCAGGGGCTGGTAAGTCGTTTTCGGCGTCCGCTCCCTCTGGCTCCGTGTCTGCAGAGCCATAAGCCGACTCCATCGAGTCCTGTTCTTGGTCGGATTTGCATGCAGTTGTGCTCAGTTCGGTTTTCCCGAGAGCTCGCTGTGTTACAGAGCTCTTCCTTTTTCGTTGCTTTTGGGACAAATCTCCTCCTCCAAGTATGTGGCTGTATATAGATAAGCATGTTCTGCCTTATCTTTATAGATAATAGAGTCTGTCCCTCCAGCCGGGCCTGAGGCATCTGAGGCAACAACGGATGAAAACGAAGATGACATTCAGTTTGTGAGTGTAAGTAGCAACGATATTCGGGTTTTTCCCAGAATCCCAAACCTATGCGTGGTAAGCCATTATGTGATGATACCTCACCTGTCCCGTTCGTCATTCAGCAGCGAGGTATGAATGCCTCGCAGGTACTAGACACTGGGGAGCATGGCGTAGGATTAGGACATTTCCCGAAGGGGGGGTCTCTGAGCACCTACGGTGGCCACCACAAAGACTGTGCCCGAAAGGACATGTTGCGCATTGAATCACGCTTCTCGTGCCTTCATGAGCGCCATTTTATACTTCATCTAGGCCAAGTTCTGGTCTTTTAGAGTGTGTGTGGAAGCAGGGCAAGAGCGTCCTTTCAGAGATGACCTGCAGGTTAGAGGGAAGGGTCGGCTGATGATGGGGAAGGGTCGGCTGATGATGAGGAAGGAGGTAGAAAACAAGAAGGGTTGCAAGAACTCGAAATCTGAGCGTTCTGTAGCTTCATAACGTGAAGGCAAATAGCTTGAAGACTTCACCAACCTCTGAGATCGTCATGTTACAGCATAGTGCAAGAGTTGATGTTCATAATGAAGATCCCTGCATCACCAGGAGCACACATGGTTTTCAGACTTCCTTCCCTTTGGGACAGTGGTCTCTGAGCATTAGGAGGTGTAAATGTGCAGGTTCCTGGGCCTCACTCCACACCGACTGAATCAGAATCTGCAGGTGGGACCCAGGAATCTTCACTTTGGAACAAATGAAAGGAAATAGGAATCTGTGAACCATGCTTTGTAAAGCCTTGGTTTAGGGGGGAGCGGGTTATGATGTATTTGGGGATGGTTTTCACCCAAAACTGTAAAGTTTTGCAAAGGCTCTGTTTAAAGTGGTATCTTAGCCAGCTAAAAACTTCTCCAAACCAGTGATTAGTTGAGGTTTGCTGTTAAAGGTGTATAATTTTTCTTTAATAGATTGTCGGATGTGTTTTTGTGTTCATTGATTTGGGGCACTTTGTTAAGCTAGTTATTAAATGATATCCTTTACATACCCCAACAAGGGGCCGTTGTGGTGATCTATTGTTGTTCTGTGGTTTAATGGGTTTATTTAGGAGTCTTTCACAAGATTTTTTGTGTGTGTGTGTGGGAGCTTTCTTCACCATTGCCAGTGCGTATTGTGCTTTGTCCTTTTATTTCAATTCCAGTATAGTTAACATATACTGTTACATTAGCTTCAGGTGTTCTCTGTCCTCATTTTAACTTAGAAGGATTTCCGGGATGGGGGTGAATCGAATTGTATCCTGCCCCTTCTTCACGGTGGACTAAAGTATGTTGGTAATGGGATTCCATGTTCCTTAGGACAAATATTTCAGGTTTCTGAATATTGGTATATTTGGAGAATATTTACCTTGATATTTTGTGCAAATAAAAGAATGACATACTTTATAAACTATGGGCCTTGCTTTGAGAATCACAGATGGAATTAATAAAAAGATTTGAAACCTTTTTTTGGTACTTGTGGAGTGAAAAATTATAGTATAACTTGGATTAACAAGCTTAATAAGGTATTAAGCTGAAGTTTAAAATATTCTTAAGTTTTAAATAGTCTTTTAAATTTTAAATGTAGAGAATCTGTGTATCTTTGCCTGAAGAATAAAAAATATACAATCAGTGCATTGTGTATTCATCTCGATCCAACATCTTCTGTTTATCCCTAGGGGTTGGCAAAGGAAGGTTCGAAGTTCTGATAGTGCAAATGAAGGATTTTATGTAATAAGTGCAATTACAGTAGTAGAAGAAACCTATTAAAAACATTTCTTGTACATTTTTAGTGATAACACTTAAATGAAACCTTAATTCTGTTTCAAAATAAATTCAGAGACAGAGCCTTCTGCTTCTTTCTGTAAACTAATACTTGACTCCTTCAGGTAATGCTTATGCAGTAAAGGTAACAAACTGTTCTTTGCTTAAGATTTCTTCAGATACAAAAAGGACATCATGGTGTTGCTTCTTGATTTACTCAGGTTTGAATTTCTTAGTTCACTCTCACTAATCTAATTTTCCCATCTTTAATCCACATGGTGGCACAGCAGTCTTTATGTGGTTTGCAAAATATATAGTATCTGGAACCAAACAGCATGCTGAAGGGAAGGAATAATAAGGATGTGGAGGTGCAAAAATGAGTTCTTTCATTTAAATTTTTTTTTTTTTTTGAAATGTACATACAGAGAACTGTACTGTTTGTAAGTGTACTGTTTGATTTTGCAAAGTCAGTAACTTTGTGATCTCAAATGAGAAGTTACCGTAACAAAAACTTCAAGATTTTGCTCTCATTTTCTCTTAAGTAGTATAGGTGTGTCTCCACCCACCCCCTGCCCCGCACCCCACTATTGGAAAGTAGAAATTTTTGAAACCTCTGAAAACTTTCTTAAACTAAGATGGCATAAAGTGAAGAAGCAATTACCATTAATTTATATGGAAAATTTTTTAGCATTTCCAGACCAAAAAAATAACTCCTTTTAGGCTTTTTTGATACCTTAGGACACATCTTGCTAACGGATGCACAAAATAAATCAAGATACGGTACAGGTGCTTGCAGATAACTCAAAGCTGTAGCAGTGAGATGCTGAGTTCAGTTCCCAGGGAAGGAGCTTGCTTGGCTGTGCTACTCTTGCTGCTTGGGGTGCATGTTGGGGTGCAACAAGACAAACACTGTACAGTAGTTTGGCTTTTAAAAAATTTTTTTTTTTGTATAAGCTCAAATCCTCTTCATATTTCCTTCAGTTAGTGAAAATGGGTACTAATGTAGGTTTTTTGTTAAAGTGAAGTGATGTGGATGCAAGCTTTCCAAGAGTGAGAATACCTCTCTGATCCCTTATTCAGCCACCATCTTTCTGTCTTTGAAACTGCAGATACTTTAGTTAATTTACTCCCAGAAAACTTATTTTAGCTAAGAGCTGATGACATTTTCACAGTGCTGCTTTAGATACAAAGATATAAAAACTGCTGAGACAACGTATTGTAATTTCAGTAATAGCACATGAGATTTAGGTTTCAGCCAAGGTTATTGGTATTATGTGAAATCATTGAGCATGTAGAAATAGTGAAGAAAATCAAGGTGTAATTTCATAAATAACTTCAGAAGCACGTAGGTGGAAGGATAATACTTTAACTACAGTAGAAAGGGGTGATGGGCAAAAATATCAAGGTATCTTTTGGCTGGGTGTCTTGGGCCTGTAATTAGGTCAATAAATAAAAATAATGTTGGAACTCATGATATGCAAAGTCCTGAAGGAAGTACTCTAGAACTACAAAGATTAATTGGAAATATATCCTACCTATAAGTGTCCATATTTCAATGTGGGAGATAAAATAGGTGATGAGAACTGTGTAAATAGTTCTAGTAGAGGGACGCCTTGGTGGCTCAGTCGGTTAATCAACTGCCTTTGGCTCAGGTCGTGATCCCAGAGTCCTGGGATCAAGTCCTGCATCAGGCTCCTTGCTTGGGGGGGAGCCTGCTTCTCCCTCTGCTGCTCCCCCTGCTTGCGCGCGTGCTCTCTCTCTGACTAAATAAATAAAATCTTAAAAAAAAAAAAAAAAGTTCTAGTAGAAAGTAGTTCTTTTATAAAAAGTACATGGTGCTATTTTTAAAAAAGGCAGACTTTTTGGCATAAATAACATTTAGTATTTGTATTTAAAAGCGCATTTTGAAAAGAAATAAGGAAAGCATCAAAATGGGAAAAGCAGAGAGGATTATGTGTAGTTCTGGAGGATAAAAATTTTTTAAGTAGAAGAGAAAGGGTGGGCCGGATAGTGTAGATCTTGAGCTGTGGCCTAAATTTGAACTTAAAGTAGTCAGTTGGGAACCATTCGAAATTTTTGAACTGGGTAGGACTACAGAAGTAAACTATATCCCTAACTTCTATATATGGAAATATATCAAAAAAACATGTATTATATATAAGGTTTTATTTATTTAATTTTTTTTTTAAAGATTTTATTTATTTATTTGACAGCAAGAGAGGGAACACAAGCAGGGGAGTGGAAGAGGGAGAAGCAGGCTTCCCGCTGAGCAGGTAGCCCCATGTGGGACTCGACCCCAGGACCCTGGGATCATGACCTGAGCAGAAGGCAGACGTTTAACGACTGAGCCACCCAGGCGCCCCTATATTTAAGGTTTTAGATTAGAGTTGTGCATCTATGCTCAAATCCATATTCTTTGTTTTAGACTGGGGTAAACTACATTTCTTATAGACCATATCGTAGTGTATTGACATCCACTTACACTTGACCGTTGAGCAACATGGGTTTGAATTACATGGGTCCACTTGTATGCAGATAAGATTTTTTACAGTACTTTAAATGTATTTCCCTTATGATTTCCATAATACTTTGTTTAGCTTTATTGTAAGAATACGGTATATAATATATACAACATACAAAATATGTATTAACTGTTACTGGTGAGACTTCCAGTCAAGAGTAGGCTTTTAGTAGTTACATTTTGGGGGAGTCAAAAGTTACATGTAGATTTTCAATTCTGTGTGGTGGGAGGGAGGGTCAGAGCCCATAACCCTCATGTTCTGCAAAGGTCAACTGTAGTAGTAGGTAATTGGTGTCTGGCTTTGTATGAGAATCATTTTTCTGACAGGAGTGAAAGCTTTTTGTGTCATTAGAAAAAAATTTTTTTTAACTTAGAATATTAATTCAGCTGTGTTCCTAAACTATTTTGCTTGTGCCTGTGCTCCTAGCCCTAATTATGTGGCCTTGGGGAGTAGAATCCCTTGATTTTGTTATTGGTACAAAACGGATGAGAAGAATGATGGTTTACTGGTTGATGGATGGAGCAAATTCAAATAAAATACCTTTAGTTGGAGGACTACATGGATTTATACTTGTTAAGAACATAAGCAGTTGGGCGCCTGGGTGGTTCAGTTGGTTAAGCGACTGCCTTCGGCTCAGGTCATGATCCCGGAGTCCCTGGATCGAGTCCCGCGTCGGGCTCCCTGCTCGGCAGGGAGCCTGCTTCTCCCTCTGACCCTCCCCCCTCTCATGTGCTCTCTCTCATTCTCTCTCTCACAAATAAATAAATAAAATCTTAAAAAAAAAAAAAAAAAAAAAAAAGAACATAAGCAGTCATTATAAACATTTTAAGAAACCATGTTTGACATTTATATAATAAACATTTTTGGGGGGAATTAATAACTTACTTTTTGGTTAGTGTTATGAGTTATTCAGAGTTGGGGACAAAGCAGTAAGTCCATTTGCTCTTATTGAAGGAATACAAAGTATCTCAAAAACTTAGGTAATAAGGCATTGATTTAAAAATAGTATGTAGGGGGGTGCCTGGGTGGCTCAGTCGTTAAGCGTCTGCCTTCAGCTCAGGTCATGATCCCAGGGTCCTGGGATCGAGCCCCGAGTTGGGCTCCCTGCTCAGCGGGAAGCCTGCTTCTCCCTCTTCCACTCCCCCTGCTTGTGTTCCTGCTCTCGCTGTCTCTCTCTGTCAAATAAATAAAATCTTTAAAAAAAAAAAAAAATAGTATGTAGGGTTTCCTGGCTGGCTCAATTAGTAGAGCATGCGACTCTTGATCTTGGGGGTGTGAGTTCAAGCCCCATGTTGGATATAGGGATTACTTAAAAATAAAATTAAAAAAAAAATTGTTTTTTTAAGATCTTATTTATTTATTTGACAGAGTGCACAAGTAGGGGGAGCTGCAGGTAGATGGAGTGGGAGAAGCAGGCTCCCTGCAGAGCCCGATGTGATGTGGAGCTGGGCAGGATCCTGGGATCACGATCTGAGCTGAAGGCAGACACTTAACCCACTGAGCCACCCAGGCGCGCCCCCCCCCCCCCAAATAGTAGTATGTATACTTTGAACTTAGCCTCAGAATTATAATGACCACACAGCCAGTTACATATTTAGAGAACCAGGTGTAGCTCACTTAGTTTTCTCATTTGTTAAATGGAATAATAGTAATAATTCACTATTTCACCTTGTAAAGTAATTAGGGATTAAATGAAATAATATATATGAAAAGTTCAGCACAGTGCCTGTATAGAGCCCATACAGCAATGACAAATGTTATTGATTAGTAGTAAAATAAATGGAATACTAAAATGTTTTGATTCTTTAAGTCATTATGGTAAAACTTTTCCCGTATCCAGTGTGAAAATTAGCTAAAGTGTAGAGTGTTTGCTTCTGAGTAATATTTTCCTTTGGGATACTTCTCTTTTTAACCCAGCCTCTGCCTTTTTGGTGGTCTCAAATATGTGTCTTCATCTTCTACCACTCTTTCACTTATAAGTTCACAATTATTTGTTGAGTGAATGAGTAAGTATTTTAAATGACTCTTGCTTTTTCTCATTTTTGGTTTTTCTATCTTGGTTCTTTTTATTCTTTTAATTAGTGTGAGTAATGAAGTTACTTTTCAGTAGTTCAGAAATGGTTTCATATTAGTCTAATGGTTGACCCCAGTAGTAAATTTCTAATAGTCTTCTCTCATCATTCCCTGCTCTTGTCCTTTCTACTATTTCTGCAGCTATTTTTAAATCCCATCTGTGACCATTTTCCTTATTCTGGTTTTTTGTTTTGGAGGGGTTTTCTTGTTTGTTTGTTTTTCCCCATTCTACTTTTTGCTTTATATTCTATTACCTTCTTTCATCTCCCTTTTTTCCCTATCTGTTCATGGAAGCTTTCTCTGCCCCACCTCTGTGTATTTCTGATAACCTGAGACTTTCTTGGTGTGCTGTTTCTATGGACGTACATTTCTTGAAGAGACAAAATGTAACATGATTATATGAACAGGAGACGCTATCACATTTTTACTTCTTCTTTCTTTTTGTGTTTTTTGCTTGTTTTAATTCTTATTTATTTATTTGACACAGAGAGAGAGAGAGAGAGACAGCTAGAGAGGGAACACAAGCAGGGGGAGTGGGGGAGGGAGAAGCAGGCTCCTGGCTGAGCAGGGTGCCTGATGCAGGGCTCGATCCCAGGACCCTGGGATCATGACCTGAGCCGAAGGCAGATGCTTAACGTCTGAGCCACCCAGGCACTCCTCTACTTTCTTTTTGGATTGAATGTATGATGTTTCCCATAGCAGTGGTAGATTTTAGTCTTAAGGTAGGTGGTTCATCTCTGTTGATCGTAATTGGAAACTACTCTTTCCCTCTTTTCCTCTTTTTTAAACCTCCACTTTTACAGCTCATGCAAAAATCTTAATTATTTATTACATGATCCCTGCCCAGAAGTTCTGCTCTCTGGTTTTATTTTAGTGGCTAGATAAAACCTGTCTGAAAGGATAGCAGTTTTCTGCATGGGGAGAAGTTGTAGCCTAAGAGAGAAACAAGTTATGTTTGAGACTGGATGCCTCTTCTCAGGAAGAGGATCTTTAACTAGATCTTAGCTTCTGTCTCCTGACTCTATTCTTTTTCTGTTAGTTTTTACACTAAATATATCACTTTGGTTTGCCAACAGTCAGCTTTCTGCATCTTAAGAAATCTTTCCCTCAGGGCGCCTGGGTGGCTCAGTTGGTTAAGCGACTGCCTTCAGCTCAGGTCATGATCTTGGAGTCCCGGGATCGAGTCCCGCATCGGGCTCTCTGCTCGGCGGGGAGTCTGCTTCTCCCTCTGACCCTCCTTCCTCTCATGCTCTCTGTCTCTCATTCTCTCTGTCTCAGGTAAATAAATAAAATCTTTAAAAAAAAAAAAAAAGAAATCTTTCCCTCAGCTGAATTCGCCTCCTATGTTCCTTACTCTTGTTCTCAACATACTAGATTTTTAAAAATAATATTCTTTACTCATGGCTTTTACTGCCTCTTTTTCTTTTTTTAAGATTTTATTTTTAAATAATCTCTACATGCAGTGTGGGCCCGAACTCACAACCCCAAGATGAGGTTGCATGCTCTGCTGACTAAGCCAGCCAGGTGCCCCTACTGCTTCATTTTCTACTTAATTTTTTTAGAGCGTAGCTTCTGTATGCTTGCTACTTTATTAAAAGTTGCTCTCAGGCATTTTAAAAATCTTGTTGCCAAATTCAGTGGCAGTTTTTTTGGTTGTCAGCATTTTGGGCCACATTAGCATTGACAGCTTTTTGTTGAGGTTTTCTCTAGCTTCTTTGAATTTATGCATTCCCGATTCTTTTCCAGTCCCTGATTACCTGCTTAGCAGTTCTTCCTGAGTCCTAAAATTCTGGCATTTTCTCGAGAACCTTCTTAAATCTCTTCTTTCTCCTCTTTGCTTTCTTTGTTGGCTCTGTCACAGTTTCAGTTTAGTCTTTTAGGGGAGCAACTCCCAAATCTGTTTATCTAGCTATGTTCATACATCCAGATTACAGCCCTGGATTTCCAGCTATCTGCCAGTTACTTTTGGGTACCACTGGTACATCAGCCCATTATGTCTAAAAGAATGTCAGCTTCCTGTTTCTGTATTCCAGATTTATACTAAATGGCATTAGTATCCTTCCAGTTGCCCAAGGGTGAAACTTTAAGGACTTTTTTGATTCCTTGTTATTGCTGGGGTTTTGTTTTGTTTGGGGGGGAGGTGTGTTTTTTTATAGCCAATCTTTTTTTTTTCTCATTCTACCCATGTATTCTCTTGTATGTGTACCACAACATATTCTCTTTGCCATTATTTTAGTTTTGTATTATTGGACTGATTGATTATCCTGCTTTCCCCATTTTCCATACTTGTCTGTGTGATTAATCTATTTAAAGCACAGCTCTCATGTTTTTCCTGTCTTTGTATTTATTGATTCCCTTTTGCCTGTAGAATAAAATCTAGGCATTTAGGCCTAGCATTCAAGGCCTGGTCTGTGATGCAGTCAGAATGGTTCCAAAGAGGATGAAGAATCAGGTTTGATGTTTGACTATAGGAGTGGGAGATAAAGCTGAGCTGTTAGTCAAAGAACTGCATGTTTTTGAGCTTGGTTATCTAACATAATTAATACTCATCCCATCTAAAAAGCATTGAATCATACTATCTGCTATCTGTGTCCTTGTAGCAGTGTTCCTTTATTATTAATAATCTTTTCCTCAAAAAAATCAACATTGTCATAATATTCTACCGAGGTTTAAACTCTTAGATCTTATCGTTTCTTATGCATGTATCTGAATATTTTTCTGTTTGTTCTCATTACTTTCTGCCACCCATAGGCTTCTTCTTTAGAGGAATTTTTGCCAATCCCAACCAAAAATGGGATGTTTTAAATGACTAGTTTAGTTTGAATAACTATAAATGATTTGTTAATTTGCTCAATTCTTTCATAGGAAGGACCATTAAGACCTGTTCTTGAATACATTGATCTGGTCAGCAGTGATGACGAAGAACCTAGCACCTCTCATAGTGATGTAAGTACATTATATTTGATTTGCATTTCTTTCACTTCTGTGATTTAAAAGACATTGCCTAAAGAGAGTTATCAAGTCAATGATCGCTGTTTTTAGGAGCTATAGTATTTTAGAGAATGGCCCGTTTCTGTAGAATGAACCACAAAGGTGTCCAGTGAGTCCTGGCCCAAAATATCTCCTACTTCCAGTTTTGTTTCTTTACTTTCAGTGAGGATGTGAAAGGATAACACAACACAGGAAAGTTCTAAGCCTTGAAGATGGTATCTGATAAAAGGAAAATGGAATAAAAACTGCAAGCTGCTTGGCTCCTTGTGCCCTTCTCCCCTTCTCCTTTCCTGTCTCTCCTCAGGTGCCATGTATAACTGGATCCTTTTCTTCCAGAACCACCTGGCCACAGAAAGTTTGTTTTACCTTGGAAGGAAGGATATGTGAAGATCCTTTAGGAAATGGAATGTGGAAAAGGGTTTAGGTGGCGTAGTATTTCAGTCATCATTCCTTTTAACCTTGTTTATCCCTCACATATTTAAAGTTTTTTTTCCTCTTACCTGTGATTTTTTTAGTTGTGGGTTTGACCCTTAAACTAATACTTCCCTTACTCTGAGAATCAAACTAGCTGAGCCCTTTGTAGCAATCTTGTCTTTCATTTGTCTTAGCCCAAATTTCTGTTAATGGGCTATTTTCTTGATGGGTTGAGAACTCCTGGCTCTTGTTCAAGGTGGCCAGAAAACTTCTTTCTCTATGATACAGGGGATTGAGACTTGGACTTGGAATCAGTATACGTAGGTTTTAGTCTGAGCTTTACTCCTTATTAATTCTGTGATTTCGGACAAATTAGGAAGCCTTTAACCTTAGTTTCTTTATCAAATAAGAGTAATACCTACCTCACAGGGTTGTTGTGAGGACAAAATGAGGTAAAAAATACATAATGTAAGCTCCTTGGAAACTACGAACAATAAAGTAGGACTATGCAACTGGAAGGTTTTGTTATGCATGGAGACTGAACAGGAGAAAATTTTAAAGGGGCTTAAAAGTGACTCTGCAGTGGGGACTTTTAGAAATATTTTTTGTTCTCAGTGGAACTTTTCCCAAGTTCTCTGTACCATTTTTAGCCTCTACTTGTTGACTTACATACATTGAATGGGATTTTTTTAATCACCAGTAGTCTCACCACCTCTTCTTATCCTAGCATGGGACCAAGCAGCAGGCCAGGATGGCAGCACTTGAACTGGGCTTGTTTTCACTCTCTTTTTTCATAGACAGAGTGCCACATTAATGGCCATAGTTGGTATTGGGTTTTTGGGTAGTGAAGCTTGTGGATTTGACTTCTCTGACCCCCTTGCTGATCTGTAGTGGATTGCATCTTTCATTGTTGTTATAATAATTTAAAAAATTGAGTTCTACTTACTGGACATGCATCTCTGCACTTGAAAGTTAACATATTAAAAGCATTTTTTTTTCTTCCTTGGTTTTCTTGTTCATGTGGATAACCCAGAGAATGCCTGAGTCTAAGGTGCCATCCTCTGAGAATCATCGCCCAGAAATGTGCTCTAGCTGCAGTGTTCCTCTTCCCATTGGAGACAGCAGCTCCTCCTCTGGGAGTTGCACCAGCAGTCCACAAAGGATAGTTTCTCAACCTTCTTCTGTTGAGAACCCATTGGAGAACCAGAAAAATGATCAAAATAATTCAGATATTAAGATCTCTGAGACAGAGACACTTAAACCATCACAAAATTATCAGACTCAGCCTTCATCTCCAGTTCTGGTCCCCCAAGAATCTTTGGCCTCTTCAGAGGTCAAGGAGGATTTACCTGTAGAGTCTTCTTCAGTTTCACAGCATGGACAGGATGCCATCCTTTATCTTCAGACACAAGTGGCTGAGATGTCCCGAGTGATCCGTGATCTGCAGTCTAGGAGCTGTTTTAGATTTCATCATTCTAGGCCAAGTGAGAACTCCTCAGTGCCATGGGATATCTCCACCTCCAAGGATGAAAATTTATCCACAGTTGATGAAGAAGCTGACTGCAAATCCCCCTCAGCTGATGACAAAGGGCAGCCAACTGACCCCAGTCAGTCTAGTTTCACAGGTCTTTTGAAAAGAATGGAACAGAGAGGTGTTATAAAGAGAGTAACATTACAGTCTGAAGCAGAATCGTGTGAAGGGAAGCCTGATTATGTGACCTCTAAGAAACGTTTGGTTCCTCCATTGCATCCTCTTCTGAGAATTGCCACCACTGAGGTTTTTAAAGACCCTGCTGATTGCCATCCTTCTTCCTTCATGGGGCACAGGGTATATCCTGTGGCCAAGGATACCTCTCCTTTCCAACCAAATCCACCAGCTGAGGGCCCTATTGTAGAAGCATTAGAGCACAGCAAAAGAGGAAGCACAACATCTCCTCTAGATTCTACCTCAAAAGAAATGGAGGTCATGGGTTGTAGATTCTACCATGCAGCTTCCATTGCAGCCCGAGCTGCTAGCTACATGGCCTATATGACTCAATATCAGCGTAAACTCTGGGAAGATATGGAGGATCTGGTTCATGATCCAGAGTTTGATCGTGGAAAAGCAAGATGTATAATATCTGATGGTATGGATGCAGGCCTTTGGCAGCTTTGTACTACTAGGGACATAATGGATTCTGTAGTCAGAGTTATGGCAATGGCAATAGACTACAGAAGACAAGCCTGGCTCCGCCTTACATCTCTCACTAAGAAAACCCAGGAGAAGATATCACACTTGCCCTTTGATGGTACTTCCCTCTTTGGACAAGATGTGAATGCTGTTGTTGCAGAAGAAAACAGTATTAAAGAAAATGACTATAGAGACCACAACAAATACTATAACCAACATCGATACTTTTATAGTCATGATCAGAAAGCACATTATCACAATAGGGGGTATTCCAAAGGAGATTGGTACAAACCTCGAAACCACCCCTATAGATACAGAAAAAAGGGAGAATCCCCCGAACGCCATGGGTACAAGAATTAATAGCCTGTTTGCGTTCAGCAGCATAGTCATCCAAGATCCTAACTATTTTACTTGCTATTCCCCACTCAAACAGGATCTACAGGTAGGAGGTCACCTCAGAAACTGATGCATGTCTGGAATTATCACAGCTAACATTTAAATTCTAGACTTTTCAAATGAAGTATATAATAAAGAGACTCATGTTTTATTGGCCAAGTGAGCAGTAGAGACTTTCATCTAAGTTGGGTTGGACAAAGGTTTACCCATTATTTCTGGTCCAGAATAAGTTCAGAGGAGGGTACTCAGGAATCTGAATCCTCTTGTGATTAAAGAAAAATACAAAGATTTGTTCCTCAGGAAAATCTTACTGGTAAACTGAGGACTGGCCGATTTGGGGTCTGGAAATAACCTACTATTAGATCTTTGTTTACTAATACCAGAGGCAGATCCTTCGTTTTTAGGTCATCAGTGCTTCCTTGTTCAGGCGTCAGCTTGTCAGATCTTCACAAAATGACAAGTCTGTTGTACTCTGTTTATGTCAGGATGATCAACTTATCAAGAGTCCATCCTACTCTCAAGGTCTCTCAGACTTCAGAATCAACCATGAAGCTGTATGTCAAGAACTGGAATACAAATAAAATTTTGCCAAATCCAGTTTGCTTCCAGTGGGATGGCTAGATGTTACAGGTCTACTGTGGACACCAGCTGGAAAAAGACTTTCCTACCTGTAACATCTCTAGAAATTTTCACAGTAACTATCTATCGAGACTGATGGCTACCGTGTCATTACCACTCAGAGCTACATGTGAGAGAATTCTTTGTTACCATCACGCCTAAGTCTCCATCCTATCAAGCTCTCAGATGTAAAGAAGCTGTGAGACCCAGTCATGGTGTTCTCTCAGGATATTCTGGGCCTTTCACCAAGATGACCTCCTTAAACAAACCTACCTTCTAATCAATTAACTTTTTTGAGCTTGATAATTCATCACTCTAAACACAAAAAAGATATGTACATTAGTGCCCTGGATATAAAGGATGTTATACCATCCAGGCATGCAAATCTGAACTCTATAAGAGAATTCCAAACATGCCTGACAATCTGGTCCTCTTACTGAAATAAAGAAAGAGGGATGCCATCAAACTAGATGATACTGAGAATCCTTAAGTGTTAAGAGTCTTACTGTGGATGTCATAAAGAGAACATCTCACACAGCTCTGTTTCTGGATATCTATGTAAATGATGATATCCATTAGAGATTTCTTAAAAGTCTGAAATCAAGACTTCAACAACATGTTCTTGGTTTACTGGTCCCTTAATCTAGTCAGACTCTTATCACGAGAGACGACTTATCATTTTGCTCCCAGTTGGTTCCATTAATAGTTCTTCACAGTTCTGGAACTGGCAGCAGATACCTCAATTGTATATCCCACAGTATCTTTTTAATCTCAAGGCAGTGGCTGTACAGTATACCAGCCCTTAGATCCTCGTTTTCGCAGCATGACTTCAAAAATGGAGGAAGTGTCAAGTTTGAGGGGTCTGAATACATCACCTAATATTATTTGCTTGGCAGCCAAAAAAAAGTTTTTTTATCAACAGACTTAAAATTTTGTAACTTGATTTGTCAAACATCTTCATTTATTTCATCTGCTTGATCAAAATATCTTGGGTCTACTGTTAGTGGAATATAACACTGTTTTAGGGTTCGTGTGGTTTCTGTTTCTTGCCATAGTTCTTGCACAGTGGTGATTGACATTTTCCCTAGTGCCCCACTTTTTGATGGTTGAAGCTCATTCCCCCTCCATTGTAACTATCTTCACCCTTTTTACTACTTTTCTTTCTCTCCCTATTTGTGCTAGAGGTTGAAGACGCAAGCATCCCTACTTAGAAGAAGCTATTTTATTTTGTCAGATAATTTCAGAGTACTATATTGGTCCTCTTTTTAGATTAAGCCTAAACAACAGGCTTGATATAGGAAATCGTCTTGTAAGCAAATTTGGTCAAGTCCTATCTAGAGTTAGCATTTACCTTTATTTTTGTATATTTTCCACAGTGTTTTACTTCTGCCTTTTTTAGGTCCATGTCATTGATGTAGAAACTCTTCCAAATTAAACTCTAGAAGAGCATTGATTAACTACCTTTAACAAGGGCCTAAAAAAATCATAGATTTTTAGAGTTTACAGTATATATCACATCAGTCAAGCAGTCTCATGTGCCCTTGACATGGCACTGTAGGTTTTTTGTTCGTTTTTTTTTTAAGATTTTATTTATTTATTTGACAGAGAGAGACATTGAGAGAGGGAACACAAGCAGGGAGAGTGGGAGAGGGAGAAGCAGGCTTCCCACGGAGCAGGGAGCCTGATGCGGGGCTCGATCCCAGGACCCTGGGATCATGACCTGAGCCGAAGGCAGCCGCTTAACGACTGAGCCACCCAGGCGCCCCGGCACTGTAGGTTTTTTATGAAAGGAATAGTCACAGGTGAACTTACTGGAGAGAGGAGACCTTGGAACTGTTCTATGTGGCTGCACAGTTGTTCCCAATTAGCCAAGGCTACTTCAGTCTGTTCCGTTCCCACTTTTCCATTTCTCCCCTTTCTTTCCCTGAATTAGATACTGGGTTACAAATGTGTTGATTTTTGAGGTACTCTTATTTCCCAAAATCTAAACCAAAGTAAATGATGCTTGAAGATGTGATTCTCTGAAACTGCAATGGCATTTCCACTTAACATGCTCCTTTTAAGTTTTTTGTTTTGAATTGTGGTCAGAAAAAAGACAACATAAAATTCACCACCTTAACCATTTTTTTTTTTTTTAAGATTTTATTTATTTATTTGAGAGAGAGAGAGAATGAGAGACAGAGAGCATGAGATGGAGGAGGGTCAGAGGGAGAAGCAGACTCCCTGATGAGCAGGGAGCCTAATGCGGAACTCGATCCCGGGACTCCAGGATCATGACCTGAGCTGAAGGCAGTCGCTTAACCAACTGAGCCACCCAGGCGCCCCACCTTAACCATTTTTAAGTGCACAGTTCACTAGTGTTTGCTGTGTTTACATTGTGTAGCTCCTCCTTAAATATTTATAAAGCAGCATTGCTATTCTCTTCCTCTTGTGTTATTTATGTTGCTCAGTATTAAAGTAACATTACTTTACCACTCTCTCACTGATAAGCGCAAACATCTCCAGAAAATTTTCCTAAAAGTGGAAAGATATTGCGGAATCATCGAATTGTTGATCAAGTAGATAACTTCTGAAAGGGATTTGTTGAGTGGGGACTGTCTCAGAATGCAGTAGAATGGGAACAGCTTTTAGCTATAGATGAGTTGGTCTCTTGATTGCAGAAGAAACAATATCCTTAATCTGTTTATTTTAAAATCTTTCTCTGGTATACTTGGATGATGATGGTGTTAAAAAGGGGACTTGATCTAGGGAGACAACCCCTAAGGCATATGGAATTCAAAATTAGATATTAAGTTTTCATACTGTGCCTGCCACAGGAAGCTCCATTAGGTAAACCTTGGATGTTTAAATATCTCTAGATTTTCTAGGAAGCTTTGGGATAATTGCAAATTTAATGATTTGGTATTCTCAGTGGGGATGCGTCTAATGATCCTTTTTCTTCAAAATGTTATTTCTCCACTAGACATGAAATGTATGTGAAGACAATATGATTTCTTGCAGTTATTGTGTACAGAGAAACTGTTTCCATTGTTATATGAAGTGCCTTTTTAAATTTCACCCTATTGTTTAAAACTTAACATTTTGATGTCTTGCATATGTTGCTGGTGATATTTATGTGAGTTCTGTACAGTGATATTTTTTAATCTTGTAGTTTATTCATCATCTGTACAATTGCACTAAATGTACTCTCCTTCTGAATGTTAATTTGTTTTCTTTATAGCACTGTTAATCCATTTCAGAAGGTTGTAGAGTATGCCCCTCCCCCTTTATTTAAATAACTTCAGAGTAGTTCTTTTTAGTTATTAGTGATTGGCTCAGTTTCCTGAGCATTAAGGCAGCTTTGTTTTCTATCTGCACGTTCTAGGTTTTCGGATTGAGTCATTTGTCTCATAACTAACCTTGTTCTAAGCCATGGTAACACAACTTATATTTGATAAGTGGATGTGTTTACTTGGTAAGAAGAAACAAGAATATTAGGAAAAGCAGTAAATTTGCTGACACTTTATCCTTCCTTTTTAGACAGTGAGACAGTTTCCTTATCAGTGTAATTGCATTTAAACTTTTTTTTTTTTAACTGCGTGGCAGCTTCTTTATAATTCCATTTATTTACTTAGCCCTCAAGATAACATTTTGAGGGGAACAAACTCTTTCAGGATACTTGGATACTATTTAGTATATTACATTAGTACTATACTAACATTTTACTGAATGATACCTAAGTGACCTGATTGATAATGTCCTTAAGGGCCCAATACATCAGGATAACCTCTCAGGTACTAAAAATGAGGAGGTTGGAATAGACACAATCCAGAATCCCTTCTAGTTATAAAATTGGATACAGAGTTAAATGACACATTCACTATTCTTGAGGATATAATTTAGTGGGATTCTGATGAAGGTTAGAAATTATGGACTAGAACTTTGTAGAAATAGTTTAAAGATTGCAATAACTGAAAACTTTTTTTTTTTTTTACGTGAGGCATATTTTGCCCCAGACTTGCACTGTTTTAGGTTTCCTTGTCTTTTGAAATTTACCATTCTTAATGTTAGTGACTAGTCCAATAATTGATTGTGATATCTGTGTGCATCTTATGCATGTCAATCAGTTGGCCAGGTCCATTCTATATAGTTTCCATTTGTGGATACAGAAACCAATTAATTCTTCCGTTTTTCACTTAAAATATACAGGCGGAAATTTTATTTAACTGATGATGATCACTGTTGAATGCAAATCTTTTAGTTATTTTTCCAGAAATAATGAGTTTTGTAAGCCATTAAAATATTCTTTTATGGAATTTCCCTTCCTGGATGAATGATAAGAATATTGTTTTATTAAATTTTTTTTCTCCTGTTGATTAGTGGGATAATATTTTTGTACTACTTTGTGTTTTTGTTTGCTTGACTTTATAGTAATGAAAACTTTTTTATGGTAGTGTTTGGTACCATTGAGATTTCTTATTACTGGAAATTATATGTTTGCTTCCAGTGGGGTATATCTGGAAGTGATCACAGTCCAACTGTGTCCTTTTGATGTTATCATATTAATTGTTTCATTCTTTATATTGATCTTTTCTTCTCCTTTATGTAACACCTCTTTCCAGAAGGATGTCTGATCTTCCCTTAATCTCTTTGATGTAGATTATATTTTTTATTCTACCAGTAAATACTAGCCAGGATTTGATGTGGCTTTGTATTTGTGTACTTAAATACAATGCCTTCAGCATTATTGTAAGAGATTTTCTAGTTTTCTCTTTTGTCCTTTTTTAAAAAAGCAGCCAGTCCAGTCTCTGGAACTATTATTTCCTGGCTATTGAACTTCAGTCAGTTTTCAATGCCTTCTTATTTAATGGTAGTCTTATTTTTCTCATTTTGTATAGTTTTCACACAAATGTATTACTACATATGGTTTATGGTTAATTGCATCTTAAAAAAAATTCTAAGCCCATCACCATGAAGTTATAGAACAGCTCTGACATAAACTGTATCTTAAAATTAACCAGTTTTCTCTAGGTCTTAAGGGCTTTACGTATTTTATTGAGATAACTATTTCAAATGATCTCTTGGATTTTCTAATGCCTTGTCAAGAATTCAGCAAGAATTCTCAGGTTGTCTGTACTTTGTTTTAGGACTTTGGAGATCTCTCAAGTTGTATTGAGTTTTCTAATATTCCTAAGTCTATTCCTTGGTAGCAGTGAAAGTAAATGGTTTATATCTAGTTGTATTTTAAACTCTTCTTTGATCTTAAATGCTTCAAGTGTTATTAATGAGTTCTGTTAGTAGTCTCTTTATAAGACCTATTTTCATGTGCTATTTTTTCCCGTCAGCTATCTATCATACGCCTTCTCTTTTCTGTCATTGCCCATAAGAGTAGCTCTATCACATCATTCAGTTTTGAGGGCTACAGTTAGACCTCTTGTCACCTCCCACTTTTATCTGTGATGGCTATGTTTCACACTACTTAGTGTGCATTTAATACTAATATCCTATAATAACTATCATGTTTGTGGTCCCTTTATCTGTACCACTTTTAATTACTAGGGCAACATGATCTGGGTGATGGGGGGGAGCATTTTCCAAGTCACTAAACAGTCTCAAATTTTCAGTTCCATTTTTTTGAACATATTTAATTACATTAAACATCCTGCTGTTAGGTGTGCAGCCCTTCCTTTCTGCCTTGGTTCGAGTATAGTCAGTGTTTAGTTAGCCTCATTTAGATTCTTAGCAAGAGTTGCATGCAGGTTGGTCTTTGTCTAATGGCTTATAACAACTCATGTTTACTTTTAGCAAAAATACCTTTTGAGATCTTGGAAGCACCTTGATAGCCTTGGGCCTAACAGTTGTCTTCCTGCCTGGGAAGCAAGTAGAGGAGAGAATTTTCATTTATACAGCTCACGTTTACTGCGCTGTGTGCCAAAAGTTACAAGGCGTTCTTGAGGAAGAAATTCACTGTTATTTTGCAGATGAGGAAATGAAACATCATTAAGCACGTTGCTCAAGTGGTGGAGCCTAGCTTTTGAATATTGACTCTATTCCTCCACAGTCTCAGTTTAGCATTGTGTACTAGGCTGCCTCTTTGTATTTTTCACGGCTCAACTCAAGTCTTAACCTCTCTGATAAGCTAATTTGACCTATACTAACCTTTTTCTTCCCTAAATTTTGTGTTTATGGCTGTACTCTCATCCCTTAGTACTTGATGTCTTCTATTATCTAATTCCTGGTCATTTCACTTGTCAGATCAGAAACTCTAACCTCTTCATTTTCCCATTGAGATTTCACTGTGTGGGACTAAGATTGTCTTGATGTGTGGTCATTGGCTTGTTTCATATATTCCATTCATTTTCTGCACTGATCATTTTAGTCAAGGGTCTTTTTTGCTGGTTTTTTTTTTTTTCTTCTGCCTTTTTTGTTACACCGTTTTGTTTCAGATACGCAAAATTGTTTTTTTGGCGTTTTTTTCTGGCATCTTTAGGATATTGGCTAGAAAGGAAGGTGGAATGGTGCAAAGCACATGGTATTTAAATTCTAAGACCTTGATCTGAGTATTAGCAAGTCACTTATTTTCTGAGCCTCAGTTTTCCTACTCTCAAATGAGGTAACGCCTGGAAGTACTTTGAAATTTCAAAAGCCCAGTATAGATTTCTTTCATAGGTGTGCTGTTTCTACACACGTAGATATAACTGTGGGATGGTATTGGATATAAATACAGATACATTTTAAGATGTATATTTAATAGCATGTAATTGTTCATGTCATCAGATTATGATCCCCTTGTTTACAGTTTTTAAGGCTCAACCATTAAGCTGTATTACAAGCCCATCAATGGATTAAGTCGTTGAAAGGCATATTTAAAGTAAAATAGTCTCTTTTCTCAAGTACAGGCTAAGAAATGCTCATTATAAACAATAAGGAAATAAAGAGAATGTAGAATGAAGAGCTAGGTTATGTAGGTATGTGTATATGATTTTTGATGGATGCTGTTTTGTCACTTTGTGTCTGTTGGCAACAATTTTCTATCATAGTTTTCAATACCTTTGTGCAGGCAGACACTGAGGAAGGTCTGGGGGAACCTGGAGTTAATAAGAGATGGTATATTCTCTTTAGAGAAAGAAATAACAATACAATGTAACTGTCCTGTTTAGAGGCATGAGTGCAATGAAGTTGAACAAAAGAGGGCCATCTAGAGGAATCAGAGAAGCTTTTTTTACTTAGCAGATACTTAAGCTGAGGTCTGCAACATGATTGGAGAAGAGATAGTTGGACCAGTGGAGAATCAGTAGCCAGGCATTGAGATGAATCAGTGCATGCAAAGGCATGTGGAACGTTGTGTCTGGTTTCAGAATTGTAAGGAACAGCCTTTATGGGGGACAGTTGGTGAAGATTAAGTTGAAGAAAGGATAAATTACCCATGAAAATGTATTGGTTCCTAGCTATTCAAAGTGTACCAAGTTTGTGTGGCTATTATTTGTAAGGTTATAGAAGTAGTCTGTCTGCAGTTCGCTTTGTACCAAAATCCCCTGTGACCATCTAGAGCAATTCTTTTTCTTCTCTGAACTGAGACAAAGGAAGGCTTTCAGTCAGTGCACCTCTAGTCCCAGGGACAACTCAAGCAGTGAAAAAGAACTGAGACACTGGTAGAGAACAACTTTGAAGATGAATGGGATGAGGACACTGAAGTGGAATGTGACAGACCATTATGGGTATACAGTTGCATACTTCAGGACCTCCTATTGGCATTCTGTCCTCAGTGTAGCTAAATGTGGCTCATTTCCCTGTACGTTGGCTTACAGATAATTTGAGGGTAGACTTGGGGAAAATTAAGGTATTTCTAAAAATGTTGCTTCATTGGAGTTTGGAGTTTCAAAATGTTGTATTGAAGACAGACCCGTGAACCTTGTGCCAGTGGTATCTCCAGCAGCACCCAAAACACATTTTGTCAACTTCCTGTTTGTTTTTTCTGTGATTTGAGTTTCTTTTCTTGCTTTTGTTGCCACTTTCACCTTTTCTCTTCATAATTCATCCTTTTTCTTTCTGTGCCAGAGTTATAGCAGTGGCACTCAGGGTTAAAGTCATATTCCCCTTTGCAACTTCAGAGATACTTAAAAATTCTCAACTTCCAAATGTTTTTGTTTTGTTGTGTTTTTGTTTTTGTTTTTTATGGTCCTGTACTGAAGGAGAATCAAAGTCACTCTTCCTAGGAGGGGATTTTTATAAGTATAGATATTGGCAATTTACCCAAAAGACAATACAGGAGGAAGAATCTTATTTAATAGGTTTGGTGGTACTAGCCTTCTTAACTGAGTAAAGTACTTTACAGAACGGGGTATATCTGTATGTATGTTTTTTTAAGTTTGCCATATAAAGCAGATGTTCTGTGTACTTTGTGTTTGTAAACAATAACCAGTTGGGGGTGGGAAGATGATTGCTTTGTACAAAAGGGTTGTTTCCTGGTTCCAAAGCTTTGCTGCTGGAGATGGTAAATAAATATTGTACTGCTTTGCTGTGTTTATCCCTTCTGCTCTCTCTGTATTTGAATATAAAATACTTGAGAAAAATTGTTGCTTTTCAAAATTATTTTTGGGGGTGGTTTGAGCCATAAGTTGGGCAGAAGGGGCTTCTGGTAAACAGAACTTCTGGGAATGCAAACTATGGACCACAGCTTTAGGATGGGCAATAATAAGCAGGCTTTTAAATTTGAGTTTGTATGGAATAAAGCAGTTGTTTCAGGAATTCTGTTCAAACCCAAGTGCACTGGTCAGATGGATAGCTATAATTAATGATTTACAAAGTTAATTCATTCCATTTGTGCAGTTGGTTGCTCCTTTGAGCTTTCTTTAAACTTGGGATCCCTTCTTTACACAGAAGATAAGGATAATGGCTAGAATAATCATTCTCCATTGGATGCCCTGCTGACTAGTTTGTGTCAGCTGACATTCAGGGAGATATTATAACAACAACAAATAAACCTCTGCCTTGGATTATTCTCTATATCCCCTTTCCCTGTCCCTCCCCCATACCTCCTACAAAATTCATCTTAACTTATTACTGGCTATTCTGTAGCCAGAAAAGTACTTTTGGGGAGTCAGATAGGGAATTGGGTTGCGATCACTTCTCTGGATAACTCTTTTTATAGAGTATTTTCTCCTAGCTTATATCACCCTGTACAGAAGTGAAAGTCCATTTCAAAGGGAAGATCCTTTGACTATATTCGTATTTCCATTTAAAAAGTAATGTTGTATAATGCCAAATTTGATAGTTACTCAAAAGCTAAAGTGCTTTTTAGAGATTAGCAGTGATTTTAAAATAAAAAGTTGCTCGTTATAAAAAAGGCTCAAAATGATATAATGCCACAAACTATTGTAAAATGATAATTTCTTCTGTGAAACCCTGCTTTTTTTCAGTATTGTGCATCTAGAAATTGCTTTACAAAAGCAGAATTACTCCTTTAATTTTACATTTCCTTTGACTTGATCTTGGCAAATATATTTAGAAAACTGGTTTAGCTAGTTTATGGCAGTTAAGAAGTGACTTGGAAGCTCAACTTTTGGGTGAGCAGATGAAGGGTAAAATTAAAATGAAAGGTATGCCTGGTATTTAATATTTGAAAAATATTTATTCATGAGAACTTAAAAAAGTTTGTTAAACAGATTATAGCCCATTTTCTCAGCATTCAGTACCAAGCCCAGTTCTTTACTGCCACAGGGGAGTTGGCAAGTATATGGCACTTGGCTTCTTAAACCATAATACTCTGAAGGATTGAGAGTGAATGGTTCAAGAAACAGGCATTTGTAGATGAATTCCAGAAGAAAGCCCATCTGTGAAATTGTAGTTCTAGTAAAAATTACTTTTGAGACATTATTAGCTTCCATGCAAATAAGTATATTAAACAATGAGAAATTACCTTGGTCATTGGAAAAGTTAAGAGTCTTTTAGTCTTACATCCCAAACAGGAAAAGAGGAATGTCAGGTATAGTAGAATAAGCTAATATTTTTAAGTTTCAATTTTTAATTTGCCTGATTGTACTTTTTAATAATTTAAGTACACTTAAAAATACAAATGAGTATGTGTACTTTGCAGTTTGTTTTAAGCATATATGTATTTAAAGAAAAATACAAAATTTTAAGTATGTTTTAGCTAAGTGCTTTTGGTTTAAAATAGTCATGGTGTTTGACATCAAAACTATGTAAAATATATTTTCCTGATAGTCATTAAGGCTGTTGAATGTGACTTGCCTTGGTTATGATTAATATCTCTTTCTGTTAGGTTTGGAAAATAATGTAGCCTAGTCATTGGATTTCTAGAGAGAAAAAGGTGGAGAGGGAAAGAAAGTTAAATACAATTTACTAACAGATTATTTTCCTTCTAGATACAAAATTTACATCTACCTTTATGAAGGATAAATGTTCAACTTATATTTTTGTAAGGGATTAATTTAAACCAAATCCATTATTCCCAAACAAAAGAGTGAGATCCTCAGTACTTTTTGTCATTATTCCATCTTGTTGGTTAAAAATTGAATTTGTTAGTTTTATTACATGTGCTGATTGTAGAAATACTAGAAAATGAAAAAAAGAAAAATTCTCCAGACAGAAAAACTGTTAACATTTTGATTTCTAGCCTTCTAGATTTTACCTATGTATTTTAATAAAAGACAGGATTATTTTCACTTAAATATAAGTGAGGGAAAGAAAACACTGAAATATATACAGAGTATAGGTTCATTGATTAGTGGTATTTTGTGCCGTTTTGTCATTAGTCTATTGATACTGTATGATTTATTTTACAGTTCACATAGAAAGATCAGTTTCACATTAATGTTAAAAATTTTAATAGTTTCCAGGAAATATTTGTTAGCTTCTTAAACTTGATTAGTAAGTGAAAGTATTAATTACTTTGGTGAAAATTTTGTCTAAATATGGAATTTGCTTTGAATGTGACTCCTGATCTGTTATGATCAGGATTTTGAGTTCATGGTCAGAACCAATTTTAAGTTCAACTGAACTGATTTCAAGTTTGAGGTGTTATTGGTCTGTAGCAAAAAGAAAAATCAGGGTGGTGCAGCTAATTTTTCATAAGATAAATTTGTTTAGTATGAGACTACTAAGGGAAATTTTAAAGTATTAGTTTGAGGTGTTGTATCTTACTCTTTAGAAATCATGGTGACCATTGATATTAGTTCCTTAAAAAATGCCCTTACATGGGTCGCCTGGGTGGCTCAGTTGGTTAAGGGTCTGCCTTCAGCTGGGGTCATGATCCCAGGGTCCTGGGATCGAGCCCCATGTAGGGCTCCCTGCTCAGTGGGGAGTCTGCTTCTCCCTCTCCCTCTGCCTGCCAGGCCACCTGCTTGTGCTCTCTCTCTCTCTGAAATAAATAAATAAAATCTTAAAAAAAAAAAAAATGCCCTTACTTGACAAAATAAGGGAATCCTATGCCAGGCTTTCCATTTCCTTTTGCCCCCAGTTAGGTTGACCCATTGAATCCCATCATTCCAGATTAGATCCATAGGAAAGCCCTCTTCCTTTCCTTCCCAAGTTATACCTGCTTCTAGACTTGGAATTTTTGCTGTGACTCTACCACACCACATTAAACCTTAAACATTTTGTCCTCAAGAACAAAAGAATTCGTGCTTACTTTCACCTGTGTAGGCATACCTTGGAGATACTACGGGTTTGGTTCCAGACCACAAATACTTTATTGCTAAAAAATGCTAACCATCTGAGTTTTTGGTGAGTCTTAATCTTTTTGCTAGTGGAGGGTCTTGCCTTGATGTTGATGGCTTCTGACTGACCAGGTTGGTGGTTGCTGAAAGTTGGGGTGGCTGTGGTAATTTCTTAATATAAAACAAATAGTGAAGTTTGCCACATCGATTAACTCTACCTTTCAGGAATGATTTCTCTAGCATAGTAGTGTTCTACATCCTTTATTGTCACTTCAACAATCTTCACAGCATCCTCACAAGGAGTAGATTCTATCTCAAGAAACCTCTTTGCTCATCCATAAGAAGCATTTCCTCATCTGTTCAAATTTTATTATGAGCTTTCAGCAATTCGGTCACATCTCAGGCTTTACTTCTAATTCCAGTTCTCAGCAATTGCTATTTCTACCACATCTACAGTTACTTCCTCCATGGAAGTCTTGAACCCCTCAAAGTCATCCATGAGGTTGGAATCAACTTTTTCCAAACTCTATTAATGTTGATATTTTAACCTCTTCCCATGAATCATGAATGTTCTTAACGGCATCTAGAATGGTAAATCCTTTCTGGAAGGTTTTCATTTTTCTTTGCCCAGATCTTTCAGAGCAATCACTATCTGTGGCAGCTTACATTCTTACAGAGAAATAATAAGACTTAATAATAAGATATATAATAATATAAGATATTATAATAATAATAAGACTTGAGAATTAAAGTTGTTCCTTGATCCATGGCCTGCAGAATGAATGTTGTGTTAGCAGACATGAAAACAACATTCTCTCACTGTACATCTCCATCAGAGCTCTTGGGTGACCAGTCCATTGTCAATGAGCTGTCAAATTTTGAAGGAATGTTTGTTCTAAGCAGTAGGTCTCAACAGTGGGCTTAAAATACTCAGTGAACCATCATGTAAACAGATGTGCTCTCATCCTGGCCTTATTCCATTTATAGAGCAGAGGCAGAGTAGACTAAGCATAATTTTTAAGGGCCCTAGGATTTTCACAATGGTCAATGAGCATTGGTTCCAACTTTTAAAAAGTCACCAGCTGCATTGGCCCCTAACAAGAGAGTCAGCCTGTCCTTGTAAGTTGGTTTTTTTGTTTTTAAGATTTTATTTATTTATTTGACAGAGAGAGACACAGCGAGAGAGGGAACACAAGCAGGGGGAATGGGAGAGGGAGAAGCAGGCTTTCCGCTGAGCAGGGAGTCCGATGGGGGGCTCGATCCCAGGACCCTGGGATCATGACCTGAGCCGAAGGCAGACGCTTAATGCCTGAGCCACCCGGGTGCCCCTGTCCTTGTAAGTTTTGAAGCCAGGCATTGACTTCTCTAGCTATGAAAGTCCTAGATAGCATCTCCTCTCCAATAGAAGGCTGTTTCGTCCATATTGAAATTCTGTGGCTTAGTGCAGCCACCTTCATTAATTCTCTTGGCTAGAGCTTCTGGGTAACCTGCTGTAGGTTCTACCTCAGCACCTACTGCTTCATCTTGTACTTTGATATTATGAGACAACTTTTCCTAAGCCTCATGAATCAATTTCTGCTAGCTTCAAACTTGCCTTTTTCCTTACCTCTCTCAGCCTTCACAGAATTGAAGAGTTAGGGCTTTGTTGAGGATTGGGTTTTGGCTTAAGGGAATGTTGTAGCTGGTTTGATCTATCCAAACCACTAAATATATATCAGCAGTAAGGCTGTTTTGCTTTCTTATCATTCATGTGTTCACTAGAATAGCACTTGTAATTTCCTTCAAAAACTTTTCCTTTGCATTCACAACTTGACTGGTGCAAGGGGCCTAGCTTCCAGCCTATCGTGGTTTTCAATGTGCTTTTCCCACTAAGCTTAATCATTTCTAGCTTTTAAAGTGATAAATGTGTGTGCAACTCTTCCTTTTACCTGAACACTTAGAGGCTATCATCAGGTTATTGATTGCCCTAATTTCAATATTTATATCTCAGGAAATAGGGAGGCCTAAGGCAGGGGAGTGAGACGGAATGGCGAGTCAGTGGAGCCATCAGAACACACACAACGTTTATGTAGTCTTACATGGGTGCAGTTCATGGCACCCCAAAACAATTACAATACTAACATCAAAGATCACCGATCGTTAAACAAATACAATAATGAAAACTTCTGAAATATCTTAATTACCAAAATGTGACATAGGCATTGAGTGAGCAAATGCTGTTGGAAAAATCGTGCCAACAGACTTGCTGGGTGCAGGGTTGCCACAGACCTTCAATTTGTAAAAAATGCAGTATCTGCAATAAAATGAGGTATGCCTGTACATGCTTAACTTTCATGGATATGTGTACTCAGATTTAACCAGTATTCTTAATCTGACTGCCATTTGAAGGACACAGCCCAGATTTGCTTTCTACAACCCGAGTTTTAGATTTAAAAAATGTAAAGAATAGGGGTGCTTGGGTGGCTCAATCATTAAGCATCTGCCTTCGGCTCAGGTCATGATCTCAGGGTCCTGGGATCCAGCCCCACATTGGGCTCCCTGCTCAGTGGCGAGTCTGCTTCTCCCTCTCCCTCTCTACTTGTGCTCCCACTCTCTGTCTCTTTTTCTCTCTCTCAGATAAATAAATAAAATCTTTTTTAAAAAATGTAAAGAATATACTGGAGGATATAAGAAGTCATAATGTCCAAGGTGTGAGCACAGACAGGATCATAGAGGCCATATTAGCCTGGCTTCTGAGGTTCTGGAACAGCTTTTCTTTCTGTACCCCATGTGACCCTCATTTTGTAACCTTCCAACTCCTGATCATCCACAGATTTTTTTGTGTCAGACTGTATTATTTTAACCATATTATTTTTTTAATTGAAACCGTTATTTTTTAAAATTTTTTCATAGTTACTGAATTAGAATTTGCCTTTTAATGTTTTCTGACTTCACAACTTTCTTCTTAATTCTGTGAGGATCCCACACAACTTCCCCAATGGGAGGGGAGAGGTTATGGAAGAAAAATTGATGCAGGGAGTGATCTAAAATTAGAGGCAAATAGACTCTCCCCTTCCCAGTATGTTTCTTAAGACTTTCCTATCCTTCTCCCCCAAAATAACTGAGTGAATAGCATTTTCTTGCAGCTCATTTGCTATCACTGTGGACTCAATAGTATTCTTCAATAGTATCTAATATGGAAGTTAATGCAGGGTGACCACAGCATGTGTTTCAAGAAGAATGACTGAAAATCCTATAGCTGCTAACATTTTATTTTTACCATTCTTACATTGAGAGCCAATTCCATTTCTAGCTTGAGAATTTACAGTCTGAAAGTCTGACCTTAGAAAAGCTCTAAGGACCTAAATGCTTATTAATACAATAGGCTTTGGGGAAGATTGGCAAATCTAAGAAGAACAGTCCTAGAATTTTGTGATTTCATATTAAATTACAGTTCAGTATTTTGACACTAATGGAATAGTGGAAAACTCCCAAACCTGAGACTATGGTGTCCCCTTTTCATCTTAATTCTACAGGAAACATTTAAGACACTTTCATCTAGCCTGAAACAAGTTCACTTTCTGCCCATATTCCTGACAAATAATAGTATAGCTTTGGTTCTGCAGTTGAATCAGTAACAAGGTGGCCTGCAGTGAATGTTTTCCCCCTTGCCTTCTGATAAGTTAAAATTTGTTTCTGAACATACTGATTGCTTGAATTACCTATTACACTTCTATGCAAAATAAGGCCTTCTGTGACCTAATAGGTAAAATCCCTAGGATATATTTCAATATCCATGATCTCTGTTTTTCCAATGTGTATATGTTCTCTCAGAACCACAGAAGTATATAATTTAGTAAGATCTAGAGGCTTCCCCACATCTTGGATCACTAACAGTGGAAATCCAAGGGATTTAGCTTTCTGGAGAGAGTGAGTGTTCATAAATAACCCATTACTTGTACCTGGCTTTAACCAGCAACCTTGATTCCAAAACCTAAGTTGTGATGGAAAAATAATCATATGAGTATCATCCCCTGCCTCATATAATAATTTTTCCCCATTTTAGGAGAAAACATTTATATTAAGTACTTCATTTTTCTCATAAACGGTGGCGTTTCAAGGTTGAAGTTCATTCTTTCTCTAGCTCTACCATTCATTCCTTTTTATCTCCTCCTAGTAAATTGTCTTTCTAATTATATGCTTTCCATATAGGTAGCCAGAGGATTTTTGTTCTGTTTTATTTTCGTTTTTGTTTTTAAGAAGAAAATAGAAACTTTCCCCATGGAGGAAGAAGAAAAGGAAACCAAACTCAATTTTAAATGTCTTTTTGAATTCAGTATCAGAGCTGTTAGGTCTTTTGAGCCCTTCAAAGTTGTGAAAGATGATAAATAGATCAGAATTAGTTGGGAGTCACAGAAGTAATCTTTTTTATTAACATAACCAGATAGTTAATTAAAAGATAACATAGGCTACTGATAGCTAAATATGAGGAAAATAATTTTAGCAAACAGTAATACCAACAGGTTTTGCTTATTTGACCGCCAAAGAGTAATGTTCTAGGGCCAGAGATTAGTTTTAGAATGAAGTTGAAGAGATTTAAACAAATGTTTTAATGTTGATTAAAGGGCTAAATAATTTATCATCCAAGTCTATGAGTATAGTTTGAAGGGAGTAAAGTTCTTATCTAAGGGACAGCTAGGTGGCTCATTCGGTTAAGCGTCTGCCTTTGGCTCAGGTCATGATCCCAGGGTTCTGGGATCTAGCCCCACATCGGGCTCTCTGCTCAGCAGGGAGTCTGCTTCTCCCTCTGCCCTTACCCCCATACTCACTCCCTCTCCCCCCCCCCATCAATAAAATCTTCCAAAAAAAAGGTTCATACTTAAATTTTGTGACAAGTGAATTACTAAAAATTTTTCCCTTTGGATATATGTAATATCTGTGTTTCAAACTTTAGTTTTCATTTAGTTTTGTGTCCAGAGTATATTTATAATGTAAAGCAGAGAATCATTAATTGTGTTTTAAAGGAAACTTTAAGAAGAATAAATATTATGTAAAGTCTTCCTGAATGAGTGTAACTCCAGAAGTATTTCAGGGGCGCCTGGGTGGCTCAGTCGTGCTCAGGTCATGATCCCAGAGTCCTGGGATCGAGCCCCGCGTTGGGCTCTCTGCTCAGCGGGGAGTCTGCTTCTCCCTCTCCCACTCCCCCTGCTTGTGTTCCCTCTCTCACTGTGTCTCTCTCTGTCAAATAAATAAAACCTTAAAAAAAAAGAAAATATTGGTGGCCTAGGAAAAAGTAAAATGATAGTGGAACCATAAATTCAAAGGTAGCTCTTCCTGGATTAGGATTACTTTAGTTAATCCAAAACATGGCCACCTTTCTATCCCCAGAATATTGTGATCCAACAATGTATTTTTATACGTAAACCCTAATTTATACCTTTGTCTACCTCATGCGTTATTATGACCAAGCATGACTTTTGCTAGAGTTTAAAACCTAAAAATGGGGGCACCTGGGTGGCTCAGTCATTAAGCATCTGCCTTCGGCTCAGGTCATGATCCCAGGGTTCTGGGATCGAGCCCCGCATCTGCCTCCCTGCTCAATGGGAAGCCTGCTTCTCCCTCTCCCACTCCCCCTGCTTGTGTTCCCTCTCTTGCTGTGTCTCTCTCTGTCAATTAAATAAATAAAATCTTTTAATAAAAAAAAAAAAAAAACCTAAAAAATGTATCTGTGTCAGGAAAAATAACATACTCTAGGCCCATGTTTAAATATTATTAACTTCCTTAAATTAAAAGATTCTTTTAGGATCTACTCTAAATTTTCTTCTCAAGGTAGCATCAACGTTTGAAGTAGATAATATTTTTGTCTTCCCAAAGAGTACATTTAATTTGCTTTTAAGACAGGTAAGTGTACCTTTACTAAAGGATTGGAGCTCAGATAAATAGCTTTTTGTGATTCATATCTAGTAAGCTGCATTGTCCTATGACTTGTAAAAGAATATTTTGAAGTTAGGAGAATGTCATCTATTAACCTCTGGTACAAGGGTGTAGGCTGACCAAGTAGTTGGAAAGTGAGTTGGAACTACTTGCACCCAGCGTAATTTTGTGAGTATTTCTTATTGCAAAGATGTAGCCTCATACTGAAAATACCATTTTGGCCTTTTTATATATATACTCACTTCTGCGTAACTTTTGTGTACTTGGAAAATCACACCTGTTGTTTGACATGGTTGATGCAATTCTGTCCCACTGTAGATAAAATTTGGGTTGTACATGCATGACTGATTTGCCTAAAGAGTGTATTTTAGGTAGTAACCCAGTCTTTCTAGTTGAAAAAGGTTTTAATAGACTATTGTTTAGAGAAGTTTTAGGTTTACATTAAAACTGAGAGGAAGGTATAGAGATTTCCAATATACCTCCTGCCTCTACACATGCATAGCTTCCTTCCTTATCAACGTCCCCCAAAGTAATGTTTGTTTTAATCAATGAGCCTACAGTGATACATCATTATCACCCTAAGGGTTCACTGTTGATGTGTTGTACATTATGTGGGTTTCGACAAATGTATGATGATTTTTTTTTTTTAAGATTTTATTTATTTATTTATGGGGCGCCTGGGTGGCTCAGTCGTTAAGCGTCTGCCTTCGGCTCAGATCATGATCCCAGGGTCCTGGGATCGAGCCCCACATCAGGCTCCCTGCTCCGTGGGAAGCCTGCTTCTCCCTCTCCCACTCCCCCTGCTTGTGTTCCCTGTCTCACTGTGTCTCTCTCTGTCAAATAAATAAAATCTTTAAAAATAAATAAATAAATAAAGATTTTATTTATTTATTTGACAGAGAGAGAGCGCACAAGTAGGCAGGGCGGCAGGCAGAGGCAGAGGAAGAAGCAGGCTCCCGGTTGAGCAGGGAGCCTGATGTGGGACTCCATCCCAGGACCCTGGAGTCATGACCTGACTTGCTTAACCAACTGAGCCACCCAGGCACCCCAGGTATCCACCTTTATAGTGGACATATATCATACAGAATAATTTTACTGCACTAAAAATCCTCTGTACTCTGCCACTCATCCCTTCCTCCCCCCAACCCTAGGCAACCACTGATCTTTTTTACTGTAACCATAGTTTTGTCTTTTCCAGAATGTCATATAGTTGGAATCATGCAGTATGTGGACTTTTCAGATCGACTTCTTTCATTTAGTAATATGTATTTAAGTTTCCTCCGTGTCTTTTCATAGCTTGATGGCTCATTTGGGTGGTGGTGGGAGGGAGAAGGGCAGAGGGAGAGAGAATCTTAAGCAGGCTCCACGCCCAGCATGGAGCCCAAGGCTGGGCTGGATTTCACAACCCTGAGATTATGACCTGAGCCAGAATTAGGAGTCGGACGCTTAACCAGCTGAGCCACCCGGGTGCCCATTGATGGCTCATTTCTTTTTAGCACTGGATAATATTCCATCATCTGATGTACCACAATTTATCCATTCATCTACTAAAAATCATCTTGGTTGCTTCCAAGTTTTGGCCATTATGAATAAAGCTGCTATAAATATCTAATTACATAGGTTATTTCACCCCTAACTACTGTTTATTTGCATGTTGTTTTCTTAGAAAGATCATGTCGTCTGTGAACAAAAAGGGTTTTATTTCTTCCTTGATTTGTGTTTTGGTGTCTAACATTGATTGGGGGAAATTCTCAGCCATTATTGCTTCAAATATTCTGTTACTTTCTCTCTTTCTCCTGGTATTTTCATTATGCATATATAACATTTTTTGTAACAGTTCCTAGATATTCCATTTTGTATTTTTTCAATCCTTTTTTGTTTTGTTTTTCAGTTTGGGAAGTTTCTGTTGACATACTCTCAAGCACAGAGATTGTTTCTTCAGCAATGTGCAGTCTACTAATGGGGCTATCACAGGCATTCCTAATTTCTATTACAGTGTTTTTGATCTCTAGCATTTCTTTTTGGTTCTTTCTTTGGATTTCTATCTCTCTTACTTATATTACACATCTGTTTTTTTATGTTGTCTACTTTTTCCATTAGAGCCCTTAGCACATTAATCAGTTGTTTTGAATTCCTTATCTTGATCATTCCAACATCCCTGTCATGTCTGCCTTTTTATGCTTGCTCTGACTCTTCAAACTGTGTTTTTCTGCCTTTTAGTATTCCTTGTATGTTTTGGTTGAAAGGTAGACATGATGTATTAGGTAAAAGGGGCTGTGGTAAATGGGCCTTTACAAAGTAGTGGTAAGGTACAGGGAAGTGGTAGCACTCTGTAGTCCTGTGATTAAGCCTCAGTCTTGTTGAGCTTATGCCCCTGGACTGTGACCTTCAGCACTGATTCTCAATCCCTTCTTTTAAGCGGGAAGGATGGCTAGAGTGGCCTGGAATTGTGTATTTCCATTCTCCCAGGTTAGTTAGGCTCCAATAAAATTCCTACAACCAGGGTGCGTTCTGGTAAAATAGTTTTTGTTGAGGGCATGTCTTGTTAAGAAGAACAGAATGCTCTGGCATATTTAAAAATGCTTACTTTTCCTCTCCCCCGGCTGGAAGCGTAAGGGGATGTTTCTCCAGTTTTTACTGTGAGAACCTGGTGGAACTCTGGGAGATAAACTCACAGAAGTGTGAGGGCTCTCCGTGATTGGGTCATCTTGTGGTTTTTAACTCTTAGACTTATCCCATTGAGTGTCCAGCAATTCATCAGTTATAGTTCAGGTTTTTCCTCAGTACTGGCTTCTGCTGAGGTTTCCACTCATGGGTTTCTGCTCCATTAACTTGTGATCCTCTGTCTCTCTTTTTTGGAGCACCGGTTCACACCGTAACCTCACTTTTCCGGTCTAAGAGATCTAAGAAGAGCTGTTGACTTCTTGGTTTGTTCAGCTTTTTACTTGTCAGGATAGAGAGGAGAGATGCTGGACCAGAAACTGGAAGTTAGATCTATTTCTTTACATCATTTTCTCTTAAATAAATATTGTTCTGGCATTACTGAAAAACCAGAACCAAGGATGTTTGTACTGTTAGACCTTTTAGGGAGGGACTAATGGCTTAATGGCATTACCTTATAGACTCAGAGCAAAGCAACACCAAACCCTTCAGTATCCAGATGATTATAAAGTAAATAAAGATGATAAATTGTCTTAGCAGTTAGTGTATCTAACATTTTGAAAACCACAGATGCTGGTGGAAAATTGGCTGACCTACAAAATACCATATAAAGTATAAAATACATAAGACACCTTCTTAGAAATTTGCTGATGATAAAAATAAATGGTTCCTGGCACACCTGGCTGGCTTAATCGGAAGAGCATGTGACTCTTGATCGCAGGGTCCTGATTTTGAGCCACACGTTGGGGGTAGAGGTTACTTAAGTAAGTAAACTTAAAAAAAAAAAAGTAAATGGTTCTTTAGCACAATAACTCTTTAGTAAATGAAATCATTATCCCAAAGCTAATTTTGTTATTTAAAAGAAATGAAAATTGTTTTTTCAATTATAGGATAATGTTAAGCATAAAGACTATATTGACCATCAGAAGGATAAAGTTGCTTTAACTCTGGCTCGTCTAGCCCGCCATGTTGAAGTGGAGAAACAGCAGAAGGAAGAGAAGAATAGAGCATTCAGGGTATGTGACTATTTTAATTGGTGTTTTACCAAATCATGGAATTGTTTATAATAAAACAGTAACAGAAATTTGTCTTCAAAAAATGTATAACTGAATCCAAGTTCAGCATGGACTCTACATAGCTCATCACTTCAGTACTTCATGATAGCTTTCATTATCTCTGTCTTTAGTTTGATAGATTCTGATCATATATGTATATAGGAGAAAAAATAGAATTGAGTGGACTTTATTTTGGGGAATTAAAAATCATGGGATTTCTTTATAGCAGGTGAACAATTACGGGTTTCTGGTTTCTATATCACAAGAGTGAAAAAGAGTTTATTGGTGCTTTTGTAGACATAAGGTGTTAAAAGGTTATTTTCTACTAAATAGAATCAGACCACTTTCTCAAACTTCAGCATGCCCGTTCAGATTAAAGCTATTACTAAAAGGAAGAAATTTTAATCAGGTTTGTAGAAGAGCTGCTATGTGGAAAATGAAGCCTAATTTAGAATCTCTAATGATATAAATCTTTTTCTTCACTTGCTTTAGAAGGCCCCGGATGAATTACCTAAAGATTCTCTCAATACTGGGGCACCTGGCTGGCTCAGTAGGTGGGGTATGTGTCTCTTGACCTGGAGGTCGTGAATTCAAGCCCCACATTGGGAGTAGAGTTTACTTAAAAAATTTTTTTTGAATAAAAAAAATCCCTCAGTACTGACAGATGTTTATTAGGAGTAGAAAGTTGATGAGTTGGGTAAATAAAGCTTCATCCTAGGAGTTTAAAAATGGAAATTGAGGGGTGCCTGTCTGGCTCAGTCAGTAGAGCATGCCACTGTTGATCTTAGGGTCCTGAGTTCAAGCCCAACATTGGGTGTAAAGCTTACTTGAAAAAAAAAAATAAAAGGGAAATTGAAATCATGGCTCTGCCAGCAGCTGTTTGGATTCCAGCAGGTCACTTAGCTTTTGCAGACTTTGGGCTTTATTTAATCTGTAAAGGGATGGAGTTGGAAATGATCTTCCAAGTTAAGATAAGCACTATGGTTTTTTAATTTTAAGATCTGTGTTTTGATTCCTTGTCCATTGGTTATCATAGAGGAATTTATATATTTCTATAGCCTCTGTTTAGTATCTCCTAATCTGGTATAGAATAAATTAATATTCTTTACATTTAGAAGTAGATTTGTTTGGAGACTTTATAATGTAATACCAATTAAATTAGAGCATAGTATTCTAGCTGTATGTTTCAAATGCTTACTGCAAATAAATAACTAAATACATACATACATAAGTAAGTAAAATGCTTAATGCATAGAGATATAAAAAATAGGTTTGTTTCTCTCCTGGCAGAAATACTATTCAATTTTAAGGAAGATTCTTTCCCAAAACTGTTAAGTGTATTGTTTATGGGGAAAATCTCTTTGACAGAGGGATGATTTGCAAGCTGTCCTTTTCCACATATTTCCTGAATGATGCTAGCTTCTTTTTCCAGGAAGTGTTCCCACATAGATAATAAAGTGTAATGAGTTCAGAATCTTACAGGCACTATGGTAACTGAGGCTTTTCTCAAGGGTAGTTTCAGCTTCCACTCATGTTAAGTGTTCATTCTTTTTTTTTTTTTTTTTAAGTTTTATTTATTTATTTATTTGACAGAGAGACAGCGAGAGAGGGAACACAAGCAGTGGGGAGTGGGAGACGGAGAAGCAGGCTTCCCGCTGAGCAGGGAGCCCAATGTGGGGCTCTATCCCAGGACCCTGGGATCATGACCTGAGCCGAAGTCAGATGCTTAACGACTGAGCCACCCAGGCGCCCCTCATTCATTCTGTTAAAGACTTTATCTCAGCATTGAAGAAAGTTTTCTGAAATTCTGAAATTCTTGTTTAACCAATTTTAAAGAATAAATATATATTTATTTATTTATTTATTTATTTATTTTAAAGATTTTATTTATTTATTTGATAGAGAGCATGAGAGGGGGGAGGGTCAGAGAGAGAAGCAGACTCCCTGCTGAGCAGGGAGCCCGACGTGGGACTCGATCCCGGGACTCCAGGATCATGACCTGAGCCGAAGGCAGTCACTTAACCAACTGAGCCACCCAGGCGCCCAGAATAAATATATATTTAGATTTCATTCTTTTCTAAGGGAAAAACCAACTAACATATCTTAGTTCATTGCTTGCTATTCATTTATGATTTTTTAAAATTTGGTTTCCTGTATGGATAACTTGTTTTTTAAAACTCGATGACAGGAAAGAAAAACGGAACTATCCAGAAAGGAAGATAATCAAACTAAAATAAAAATGATTCTTGAGGAATTCTAGTGGCTGATAACTCTCACTAAAACTAGATAGTAGTAGAAAATAACTTCCAACTATTCTTAGGCCTTTGTGAATTATTGATGTATTACTATTACAGTGAATTTTTTATCTTTTGTGATGGAGTGGTTTTAAAGAAAGAAAGAAAATTCATTAAAATCTTCACTGGATATGGGGCATCTGGCTGGCTTAATCAGTAGAGCATGCAACTCTTGATCTCAGGGTCATGAGTTCAAGCCCCATGTTGGGTATGGTGCATATTTAAAATTAAAACAAACAAACAAACAAGAACAAAAACCCTCTTCACTGGATAAATGACTTTCACGAGATAATGTTGTCTTGACTAGTTGAACAGCTACCAGCTTTGCTCATTGATACTCTAGGAGTTAAGATGACTTGCCAGAAGGGATATAACCCTCAGGTTTGTGGAAGAAGCTTTGTAACAAAGGAAAAGTGTGGCTAATTAGAGGATGACTTAAGCCAATAAATGTTTTTTGAGCATTGACTATGTATGGCCACAGAGTTCAAATTCTATTGTAAAAAATGGCAGAGAACATTTTTAATTTTTGGCAGTCCTTTAAAATAAATGGCTATTAGCTGGCATCTAGCAGTATTTGATCTTATTTATATTAAGAGTTTTGTGATAGATTTTTTAAGGAGCTTTGATAAGTGGTTTAATTTTGTACATTAGAAAATGTCTTTGGAGTCTGCCAGAGACTTGTCATATTGCTTTCTTTGGATAAACTAGTTTTGTTCTCCAAACATGTTATTTGGAACACTACTATAGGATGCGCTTTGAAAAAAAAAGTATTTGTTGAGATACTGCATATTACATGCACATTAACACTTCAAGGCTTTGGAAGTCCTGCCCTAAAGGAACTTTTTAAATTTTGTATTAAAATCGGTGTTTATATATTTAATTTGGTTATAGAGAATTTTTTTAATGCTTGTTAACATTTTTGAAAATTAGTATTCTATGGCTGTAGTTTGAACAACGTTGTGTAGAAGATTTATTTCCGATTGAAATCTTGAATCTCCCTGTTCCCCTCCTTGCCATTTCTGATAAAGTATCCTGTTGCATTGCTTACTAGGCCATTCATTATTCTGGCCTATATCTTACAAATCTAGCATTTGTGACTGTGATTTCTTCTTAAGAACAAAACCTTGTTGAGATGCAATATGGTGTACTGGTTAAGAGCATGGATTCTAGAATCAAATTGTGAGAGTCTAAATCTGGCATTGTTATTTATCCTTAGGCAATTTATTGACCCTTCTGTACCTCAGTTTTCCCATCCTAAAATGCAAACAATAATAGTACCTATTTCACCGAGTTATTGTGAGAATGAAATCTATTATGCTTTTAGAATCATGCCTGGCATGTGGTAAGTGGTGAATAAGTATTGTTAGATACAGCATGATTAGAGATTATGCAAATAGATTTATAAATAATATATAGGAGGACTTAGAGACTTTAACAGTCTAAACCGTAAGTCTAGTTTCATGGTTGGCACTGGCCTACTGCCTGTTTTTGTAAATAAAATTTTATTGGAACATAGCAGTGCCCATTTGTTTACCTGTTATCTATGGCTGCTTTCATGCAGAGTTGAGCTGCAAAACCTAAAGTATTTACTGTCTGGCCCTTTATGGAAGAAGTTTGCCAACCCTAGATCTAGATGGTGATAAATGCTTTATACTGGCACATGCTAAGCTAATGAAATCAGCTCTTATTAATACTATTCACTGAACAAATATTTAATAGGTTTCTGTATACTTCAGGCTGTATGTGGAAACTTTGAAAAGAATGTATAAAAGTTTAAAAATGAAAATAATCATTCATATTTCCATTCCCAGAGATAGTGACGTTTTATATATTTTCAACCTTTGTTCCTCCTCTGCAGATACAGTTACATATAGCTTGAAATTAATCTTTATTTATATTTGGTCTCATTTATTTAATACTATTTGGTGACCTGCTTGATATAAAAAATATATTTCTGCTTCACTGAAAGTTTGGTTAGTGTTTCTAATTGACTTTCATGAAATGTATATACCATAATTAAACAG